TTTCCGTCTATTTTTCAAATACAGATTAAAAAAGATTGATTAAAATTTGTAAATTGTATTTTAATTTTAATTAATAGATTATATAAAATTAATTTTATGTAATTATTAAATTAGTGATCATAATCTGAAGTTGCATATATAAATGAATAAATATAAAAAAAGTATTAAAAATTATAAAATAAAACAAAAAGTAATGGAATTATAAAACATATAATTAACTTTCAGATTATTTAAAATATAATATATTTAATTTCTAATATGTAGATGCGTATATGTATATATTTTCCTGGAAAAAATTCTCAATTTTAAAAGTTTTTGACTAATTCTCTACTCGTTGAAAGAGTGAAAGTTTAACATTGAAATATGGAGATGATCTTCATGTAATTTTTCAATGTTATTGAGAGATTCTTCGTCACTATCTAGGCCACTAATGTTATTTCATGAAACTATCTTCATTGATGTCTTTTGATTTTATGCTTTGATCAATAAACTTACTTTCTTGGTTCCTTCCATTTAAAAAAAAATAAAGATAAAACTTATGTGAATTCATGATTGCTTTAAAAAACTTTCAAGCATATATGCAAAATCTTGGAAATATTCAACCTAAAGATAAATTATTTCACATTTAAATATTATCATACTCAATATTAAAAATAAAAAAATAATCCATAGTCACAACATAATTAAAAATAAAATAAAATAATACATTCATTTTTGAGAGTTTTCAATTTCTTTCATAATTTATTTATCATTTTTTTAATCCTCTATATAGTACATAAAAAAACAACATATTTCCTAACAAAATAGGAAGAAAAACGCAGAGGCCTCAAAAAAGTAAGATTTTTCCATAATTACCACAAAGTCTGTTCAGTACCATAGTTTGCAACGAACTTCTCTTTCTTGAGATATGAATTGCTCACTTAATTGTTCAACTTCTCTTGATTTTTCTCGATCATTTTTTCTTGACTCGATTATAATCATAAATTTGTGCCTTCTTTTAAGAAGGATAAAGAAATTTTTTGAAAACAGTTACGTTGATTGAGGAAGAATTATCTGTTTGTTTGAATATTTTATCGCTAACCACTCTTTTTATTTTAGGATAGAAGTGGGAAGTTAATGTGCAGTTAAAATAATTTTTTTTCTTTTTTTTTTTCACTATTATTAAATAAAAAATGTGCAGTTAGATGGTTCAAATTTAAAAAATACCTTTCCATAAAAAAGCACCACAACGTTGAGCATTTTTAAAAAATATTTTTTAATTTTCTTTTTAGTGTTTGAAATTTCTATTTTTATTTTTAGAATTCCAATTAATTTTAATAATTTACAAATTTTGTTTTTTTTGGTAGTGCTGACAATAAACATTTATAAAAATTTTAAGAGTCCAAAACGTGTTAAAAATATATAACAATTATTTTTATTTATAAGTTTTTATTTTCAATATTTGATGACTTATGTTTTTTACGGGTTTATTTAAAAAAATAGTTTTATTTTTACATTGTTAGATTTTGATTTAATTCTTTTTTGTGGTAAGTTTTTTTCTGATTTTTATAATATACAGATTAATTATATATCTATATATAGATTATTATTATTATTATTATTATTATTATTATTATCTACATTTTTGTTTTTCTTTAAATCAGGAGATTGTGGAAAGATGGCTAAAATTTAAAATATACATTTCCACAAAAAAAGGACCACAACGTTAGAGTTTTTTTTAAAATAAATACATACACATAATTAATTTTAATTTATGATTTAGTGTGGTGCTGACATTTGACACTTTTTCTTCTCCTTTGTTATATAGTTAGATTTTTTAATCGTTATGTTAATATAAATTTTATATATTTTTTAAATGGTTATATCACGATAAATTTAAGTAATTCTTTAATAAAACTTAATTTTTAAAATTTTAGTTTAGAATTTAATATGATTACAAATTACAAATAATTAATTTTAATAAGGAAATTATTTTTCTATGATGCAATAGGATTTTAGGAATTCTATTTTGTGACTTTTGTCTTATAAACCATTAGTTATAAATCTATCTAAACATGCTCTAATAAAAAAAGATAGAATTATCAAAGATGTCCCATCTATAAGACAAATAATAGTTTTATCAAACTTTATAGGAAAACGTAAATAACATATGTTTAAACATCATACTCTTCACAACAATACTACTTAAAGGCCATGAAATAAAAACTAAACTAAATAAACAGAAGGCTTAAAAGACTGGTAATGCGTGATCCTTAAAACTAATTAGGCCAACTAATTATTAATTAGTCTAAATAGAAATGTTAAAATTTAAGATTATAATAAATATTATCCTTAAATGGTTATGATTAGTTTTAAAACTACATATTTTGTTTCTAATTTTAAACTTATATTAAAAAAATTAATTAACCACTCTCAATTCAAAATTTTGAATTTAAAATTTAAAAATATAAATTAAAAATATTATGTAACTCTTTAAAAAAATAATTTTTAAAATTTTTAAATAGTTTCTTACTTCATTATTAGAAAGTATCAAAAAAACAAAATCAACACACTAATTATTCGACTAATTAAAACTTAAGCATCAAACCAACAAACTCAAAATATACTACTAAAATAGTATAGAATCTTAGATAACTTCAACAAAATATTGAGATCATTTCATGATTGTTTATACAATCAAATAAAAACATATGTTAAAAATTTGTATTAAATTTATGATCATGACAAATTTTTCTTGCGCTAAGATTAAAAATCTATATTAAAAAAGAGACATGAATTAATACGGTGAACAAACTTGTTAAATTCTAAAATAAAAAATTATAAATACTTACCTCTAGTGTTGATTTTATACCCCAAGAATCTTCCAAATATTAAACTGTCACATTTTGAAGTGACACACAAACGCACTAAAAAAATATCAAAATCATTTAGATTGAACAATTTTAGCAAAAATGAAGAACAATGAATATACATATAAATAAGACAAAGATAAAAGAAGAACAAAAACTGATACAAAGAAAAGAAAGTTGAAAGAATGGTTTGCCAACATCACTGTAGTATTAGCATATATATAAATAGTTTCAATTCTGTAACTGTTTTTTTTAACTCATTAATTAGAGAGATTTGCAAACCGTGTGTTTGAATTCTTTTGAAATTTAAAATTTATTTTTAAAACTCTTTTTGTGAATTTAAACCGTTTATGCACTTTTTAGAAATCTGCTAAACAAATTCAGTTTTTTTTTTCAATGCTACTTTTTTTTTAAAAAAAAAATCAGCATCCAAAACAAAAGAAAGCAGATTCAAAAGTTATTTAAAAAACCGCTTTATACGATATTAAAAAGCAATTTTTTTATACGACAATAAAAATAAAATAGACTTTTTTTTTTTGTGATGACATTTGTCAGCGTTTTTATATAAAAATAGATGACATTTTGTCCGTGTTTATATAAATGCATTTTTTTTTAAAAGGTATAAATTAGTTTTTTTAAAATATTAAATCTGTCCTAGATATAAATTTTTTAAAATTGAATTTTGAATATTTTAACTGATTTGAAGTGGAGTTTTATAACCAATTGATTTTGACACTTGTGTTTTTATTTCGAATTTTGAATTTAGAATATTTAATTAGTTATATAATATTTAATTATTTATAATTTAAAATTTTGAATTTTGTGGTGCTGACATGTGTCCTTTTTTCTTCTCCTATTATATATAGATAGATATGATGTCATAATATCTATTTTGTTGTTGTCGTTTACTTGTAATAAGAGACAATAGCAAAAGTAAGCACTACTCCTCGATATCATATTCTTTAAATTGATATCTACTTTTTTTGTGATATAATAGATAGCTGCAGAAGTCTTTTTTCCCCCTATTATATCACTTTATCATCAAAATTTGTATAGACAAAAATAAAATAAAATGTGGTGTATGTTTAAAATGTAACCTTAGAAGAAGTTTAATGAACAAATATTTGTTGATCTGAGAAACTTAATTAGATCATGATTTACTTGGTCTAGAGATATTAACATGTCTATCTAAAAGTGGTGAACGTAAAATTTTTATGTCCTTGTTGTTGATATAGATGTTTTCCTCAATATTGAACATGACATGTTAAGTAATCGAAACTATATTTTGATTGTTGTGATGATTATTTGTTTTTTTTTTTTCCTTTTTGCTGTTCAATTGTCAATTAGTACGGAGTAGATATACAGTTTATATTGAAATATAGTTTCAAAGTGGCACAAAATTACCCACTACAAACGGTTAACATTGGATCATGCTAACACGGGCAATACTTGTTTAGTATTATAAAGGAAAAATTACTTAAATACACAACACTTCTTTACCTATTCTCAATATTTCCCTACTCTTTTACTAAAATACAAAAATCCCTTATTTTCCCCCAATTCAACTTAACCGGATACTTTATTAATTTAAGTATCCGCTTGTTATTAATTAAAGTATCCGCGCTGCTATATTATGCATCCGCTCGTTAATTAAGTATCAGTGCTGCTATATTATGCATCCGCCCGTTAATTAAGTATTTGTGCTGCTAACAACTTAATAATTTAAGTATCCGCCCGTTATTAATTAAAGTATCCGCGCTGCTATATTAAGTATCCACACTGCTATATTATGTATCCGAAAAACACTAAAAAAAGAGATTTTTGGTAATTAATGAAAAAGTGGGGAAAGGAAGTAATTTCTTTCTTATACTATGTCATTTGCCTAATCTTTACTATTATAAATAGGAACCATGAAATTAGAATTCCCTCCTTTTTTCTGAACTCACATATTTGGTGCTTAATCATTTAGGCTAAGAGACAAGACCAAAATATTGATATTTTGGCACGTGTATTATATAGTTGTGCCCCCCACAAATTAGCCCTGGCCCCTTGGCCTTGTATCATCGGACTTATATATTTCCTTTATCAAAGAAAATGTAATAGGCTCCTTAATTAGTTTTCTTACCTATTTTTCTTAAAAGTATACAAGCTATGAATGCTTTCACATTTTCCTTCACTTATACATTATTATTACCATACCCCAAAACTCTTCTTTTTTCTCCTAATAGGAAATCTTCATATGCATCTCCACAAGCCATTCCAAAAAAATCATCATCTACACAACATAATAAACTTAAACCCCTAAAGAAACCCTTATTAGAGCCTTCATTTCTAGAAGTTTTCTTGAATGCATGTGATGATTTCATCGACACGTACATCGATCCTCCACGTCATCCTTTTATTGATCCAGAATGTGTTTTGTCTGACAACTTTGCTCCTGTTGATGAACTTCCTCCAACAGAATGTGAGGTGGTAAAAGGCACCCTCCCACCATGTCTCAACGGTGCTTACATTAGAAATGGCCCAAACCCACAATATTTTCCTCGTGGACCTTTCCATTTCTTTGATGGTGATGGAATGCTTCACTCGACTAAAATTTCTCAAGGTAAAGCAATATTTTGTAGTCGTTATGTCAAAACTTACAAATACTTGGTGGAGAAAAAAGCAGGGTATTCAGTCATTCCTAATGTCTTCTCCGACTTTAATAACCTTATTGCCCTTGTGATTCGCGGAGCAATGTCTATAACTCGAATTATAATTGGTCAATTCGATCCAAGCAATGGTTTTGGCCCCGCAAATACTAGCTTGGCACTATTTGGTGGCAAATTATTTGCTCTTTATGAATCCGATATTCCTTATGCTATAAAATTGGCCCCAAATGGTGATATCATAACTATTGGTAGTCACAATTTTGATGAAAATCTTTCTATAAATATGACAGCCCATCCTAAAATCGATCCAAATACTAATGAGGTTTTTGCCTTTCGATACGATCCAATATTATTTCCATACTTAACTTATTTTCGAATTCACCCTAACGGGGTCAAAAGTCATGACCTACCAATTTTCTCTATGACACGTCCATCAGTCGTTCATGACTTTGCTATTACAAAAAATTATGCCATATTTCCCGATATACAAATTGAAATGAACCTTTTAGGGCTCATCACCGGTGGAGCACCGGTGGGTACCAACTTGAGAAAAGTACCTCGACTTGGGGTGATTCCTCGTTACGCGATAGATGAGTCAGAAATGAGGTGGTTTGAAGTACCAGGGTTCAATATGATGCATGCAATAAATGCGTGGGAAGAAGATAATGGTGATACGATAGTAGTGACTGCTCCTAATATATTATCGATAGAGCACTTTTTGAAAAGATTGGACCTAGTTCATGCAACAATTGAACAAGTAAAAATCGACTTGAAGACGGGGAAGGTAAGTAGAAATCTAATGTCCAAGAGGAATCTTGAATTGGCATGTATCAACCGGACTTATATTGGCAAGAAGAACAAGTACGTACATCCAATTAATTATGATTTTTTTAAAAAAATTTGTGTTTCGCATTATTTAGATTTTTTTAAAACTATCAGGTTAAGTTGACCTACTATATAGTAATAAGAAGAAAAAAGAGTTCTCTCAAATTTGATATATAAATTCAAATGCTACCTATACATGATTTCATTCACACACGGTCTTTTCTAATTTTTGTAAATTGTTTTCCTCTCCCCCTCAATTTTATATACATTTTGTCCATTTCAATTCAAGTGTTTTATTTTTTTAACTTTAGTTCAAGAAGAATACTCTTTTCAATATTTAGCAACTTTCCGAGTTTAATATTTTGAATGACTAATTAAAATTGAAAAATTCAAAATTCTTGTCTCATTATCTTGAATTTCGTGTTATATTAAATTATCCACTTAAATTAAAATAAAATAAAGAAAGTAGTAATTTTTTTAATCAAATTTATACATCATCACATCACAAGAGTTACACTCTCTCTAAGTGGGGTCTTTCTCTTTTGTAAGAAGTGACTGTCTTTTAAACTTGTTAGTAAATTTCATTTAGACACTCGGATTATTATACAAAAAAATTTAAAAAGATTTTGAGTGTGATTTCAAGCACCCATCACGTGATAAGTTAACCACAAAATATATATCACCTCCTATAATTTTAAATATCAGCCTCAATTGAAACATACAAGCTAGCCTGAAATTTTACGATTTATTGAGATTAGTTATAATAAAATAGTGATAATGGACTAGTGGTTAACTTATCTATGTATTTTTTGTTTTCATTATTAAAGGTACATCTATGCAGCTATTGCAGACCCTTTGCCAAAGGCAAAAGGTGTGGTAAAATTGGATGTATCCATGTTAGAAATTGATCAACAACCTGATTGCATAGTGGCCACAAGAATTTTTGGACCAAATTGTTTCTGTAGTGAGCCCTTTTTTGTGCCAAAGGACCATGACAATGTATTTGCAGGTAAAATTCATATAACCAATCATTATATATATATTTTTATTTATTTATTTTGTTCGGGTTAATATCACGTAAGGTCACTGAATTTTAATCACTATAACAATAAAGTGGCACATATCAATCAAATAAATTGATGTTATTCGTTATAATAGTAATGTCACTAATTTTGTGATGTTAAAATAATTGAGGTTGTGGTGGAACCATATTTGTACAAAAAAGAGTCAATTGACACCCTGTTTATCATAAATTTTACGTAGCACATGTTGTTCAAAAAAGCTAATGTTATTTGTTATAATAGTAATGTCACAACTATGTTTGTGAAGTTAAAATAATTGAGGTTGTGGTGGAGCCATATTTGTTCAAGAAGAGTCAATTGATATACTCTTTATTAGAAAATTTTTGTGCCACATGTCAATCAAAAAATTTAATGTTAGTTGCTATAATAGTATAATATCATAACTATTTTTGTCAGGTTAAAATTATTTAGGTTGTCGTAGAGCTACATTTATTCAAGAAGAGTCAATTGACATCCTCTTTATCAGAAAATTTACGTGGCACAAATCGATCAAAAAATAATGTTATTCGCTATAATAATACAATGTCACAAGAATTTTTGTCAGGTTAAAATAATTGAGGTTGTAGTAGAGCCACATTTGTTCAAAAATAGTCAATTGACATCTCCTATATCAGAAAATTTACGTAGTACAGATTGATAAAAAATAATATTATTCACCATAGTAGTAATGTCACAACTATTTTTATCATGTTAAAATAATTGAGGTTATAGTTGAGCCACATTTATCCGAGAAGAGTCAATTGACACCCTTTCTGTCAGAAAATTTGGACAACATAGATAGATCAAAATAATTATTGTTATTCACTATAATAGTATAATGTCACAACTATTTTTTTCACGATAAAATAATTGAGGTTGTGGTAGAGCTACATTTGTTCAAGAAGAATCTTGACACCCTCTTTATTAGAAAATTTGTAAGAACTATTTTTATCACAGTAAAATAATTGATGTTATGGTGGAATCACATTTGTTCAAGAAGAGTTAATTGACGTCCTCTACATAAAAAACTTTACGTGACACCTATCGATTAATTTTTTTTAATGTTGTTGCCTGTACAACTATTTTTGTCACATTTAAATAATTGAGATTGTGGTGGTGCCACATTTGTCCAAAGGGGAGTCAATTGACACCCTCTTTGTCAGAAAATTTGCACAACATAGATAGATCAAAAAAATATTTTAATGTATAATATATATGAACTATATTTTGATTATATTTTAATGCTTAATTATATAGTTAATTCTTTATATTTTGAATCAGCTGACGAAGACAATGGCTATGTGGTGTGTTATATGCATAATGAGAGCACAAGAGAATCAAGTTTCATGGTGATGGATGCCAAGACTCATGATCTTGAAATTGTGGCTGTTGTGAAATTGCCTCATCGTGTGCCCTATGGTTTTCATGGGATATTTGTGAAGGAAAGTGATCTTAACATGCTATAGGAAAGTTGTCAAGTTTGGGTTGTTTATATAAATTTTCACTATTTATGTGGATTATGTTCACGCATCATTCAGATAAAATGACTATGAAATTACATTATACTTTCATGTATTATGAATAACGTACACTCAAGGGTATGGTCTAGTGATCAATGAAGTGGTCGATAATTTTGAGGTTTTAGGTTCAAAACTCAGTGGAAGACAAGAAAACACTAGGTAATTTTTTTCATTTGTCCTAACTTTGATGGACAAAAATTACCTGATATTTATTGTTGGTGCTTACGTAAAAGTTTGTGAAAGCTTTAAAATTTAGTTCTCTTATAGTAGGAATTTTTTTTAATACTTATATTAATAAAACTGTACACATCTAATGTACAACGTAAATACAATATTGATCTTGAATTTATTAAGTATGCACATAAGATGATAAGAAGATCAATTTTTCTTAATTATTTTCTTCATTTCACCTAGATTTTTTTTTCACCTAGATTAAAAAGAATATTTAAGATTATTTTTTTCCATTTCAGAATATTTTAATAGATTACTGTTTTAAAATTTTGTGACGATGTGTTTTATTACTACATGAAGCGAGACCAAGTTATAACATATTAGATAAGTTTCTTCAATACGATTGTTGGTGTAGCCACATGTAGTGCAGAGTGATCACTTGAACACTCTTTGTCCAAAAATTATACTATGTGTATAGAAAATTATATGAAGTATATAGATAAAAAAATATTTTTCATACATATATATTAAATTTTGAATATTCTTAATTATCAAAAAATTTGATTTCGCCGCTGAAAACGATATGTTTGAGTTGGCCAAAGGGAGATAGAAAAATGAAAACTTTCTTATTAATCATTCATAACAATGAAAAGTGTATGGTTTTATGAAATTTTCCAATAGTTTGGCAAGGAAAAGGAAGTTACATCAAGAAAAATGTATATGATTTCGACAAACTTTTATCAAGGGATGGTATATTATTATTAATAATATAAGTACCTAACAATGTCATATAGTTCTTATATATAGTGATCCCTACCTAGCAACTAATTAATTATGTATATAAAAGGCTAGAAGCTATAATATCATGAAAAGTATGTTTGGTATGAACATAGGTAAAGTCAAAACACTCTATAACGGCGCTATTTATTTAAATATTTTTTTACATAATTTATTTAAACATTTTTTTTATTGTTACATCGAAATGCAATTATGTAGAACATTTACTATACATGTATACAAGAGTACTAAGACAAACAACCATAAATTGAGTGTGATATAAATAGTAAAAATTTATATAGTAGGTCTTAACTTATAACAATCGGAGCCCCTCAACTTTCCTATAGCATGTTAAGAGGCAATTTCACAACACCCACCATATCAAGATCATGAGACTTGACATCCATAACCATGAAACTCGATTTTCTTGTGTTCTCATTAGGCGTATAACACACCACATAATCATTATCTTCGTTAGTTAATTCAAAATATAAAGAAGTAACACAAGCAAGATATGCTTATCTGATAAAATTTGTGAATAATTTACTATATAGAGATCTAATAAAGATAATATCAAGTTTAGTTTGTTCAACAAAACTTGTGAACAATTGAACCATATCGACGAAATTCAACCATTTAAAAAAATTATATGGAATTGAACAAAATAGATAATACCAAATTACGGTTGTCGTCAAAATTTGTGAACAAATCCAAAAATACTTATAAATAATTTAACAAAATATATAAAATAGAATAGCACCAACTAGTCATATTTCCAACCAAATCCAAACACACTCATTCTCTTAATAAAAATTGTGGATGGTATTTTATTTATTTTTTTGATAAATTTAGCTCACCATAATGTTGGGACATAATTTAAATTGTGGCCACAAAAAAGCTTTTTGTGCAAATTCGAAGTCTATTTGTGCAAATGCCAAAGTTTATACAAGAAATATATAGAATGAAGATAATATCAAGTTATATTTCGAATGTATAGCTTTACGATTCTTTCTATAAAGCTTTCTTAAATTGGGACTAAATAAACAATAGCCTCAAATCAACCTATTCGTGCAAATCGTCCATTAATTGTGCATATCAAGTATTAATAATATAGCCCAAAATAATATGGTAGATGGGTCGAGAGTAAGGCCTAAGTCCTAAAGGATATATTCGATTTTTTTACACTGTGTAGCCACTCACCAAAATAATAATTCATAGATACATATGTTCTCCACCAAAATAATAATCGATACATACATATGTTTAGTATATAATATAATTATTTTATACATAATAATATATTATATTTGGCTACCTAATATAATTTTTGTGTTCAAATGTGTTAAAATTTCAATATATTTGAGTGTATATGTCTCCTTTTTCACGTATGATATAAGACGATAGCAACCTAATAATGAGATCATACTCTAATTGCCATAAAATAATATACACACTCCACTATATATTATACAACATTATTTACATTCTAAATGTTCTAAAAAATTTATACTATAACAACTTTCAAGAGTTCAAATTTATTAATCTACTCACATTTTAAAATTTGATCTTTGATTGTTTTTCTAGAAATTCAAGACGAAAATTAGTACTTTTTATTTTTTTTTAGTCATAACTTTCTACAAGATTGTTTTAATAGTGTTTATTAAAAGATAGTTATTAAATAAAAATATTAATAACTTACATATTATAATTACTAGTCACTTAATTTGGAATGAAGCGAGTTGAAAATCTAAATAAATAAAGGGCAAAGAGATAAATATATCTTCGAACTATCATAAGTGGTATGCAGATACCCTTCGTCATACTTTTGGGACATTGATGCCCTTGCCGTCCAAAAACTAGAGCATATTCACTCTAACGAACAAAAAAAGAACAAAAAATAAGAGAAACTGTGGGCAATGCTTCTATTTAATTTCTTGTCAATGAAAGTTACATAATATGCTATTGTCAACAACATCTCTTTACGCGCCGATCTGTTAATGTTTTATAATTAAATACGTGAAAAATTTGTTCGATAATGATAAGCTATGAGATTCAAATTCAAAATTTGTATTTGCTTATATCATATCGAAGTGTGAGTCTATTTCATCTAAAAAATTAAATTGTGTCTGATAGACTACATTTTTATTATTTTAATTATATTGTCAACACTTATTCTTACGTGTAATCATGTTTCTCTTCCGTAGTTCAAACACGTGAAAATTTTGTTTGATATAATTAACCGTGAGACTCAAACTTAAGACATTTAATTATTTTTAACATTTATTTTACTTTTTTATTTACTAAAGCTCAAATTGATTTAGTGTTAATGGATGCAAGAAAGAGTAGGGAGCAAATAATATCTTCCACATGGGGCTATATAAATAGATAAAAGATTTCCAAGTAAAGCAAGAGAGAATATATTATATGTAAAATTATGTCAAAAAAGCAAGTGCAAAAAGTTCCTTTGGTTTTTTTCTTTATTTAAGTATTCTATATTTTTTTTAAATAATAATAATTCAAATTTGACTAATTTAAATTGGCACTAGTAAAGTACTCCTTTATAAGAGGTTTTCCATTCTTAAATTTTGATTTTGAGCACTTTGAGAATGTATTTATAATAGTAAAGGACCTAAGATCAAAGCGAATAATATTTAGGATGAATTGTTACACATAAAAAGTAGTATTATTTCAATAAGGATGCACGGATCTAGCCTTTAAGATATATGATAATAGAAATTTAATAACTTTTGTTTATGTTCTGCATTTGTAATAAGAACACACAATATATTTATAGTTAGTTGATTATCATGAACTCAATTATTATTTTATGTTTACATAAAAATATTTTAAAAATTCATAAATTTTAAAACATGATCATCTACCTTTAATTTTAGTTATCCCACCACACCCTCCAATCATTTTTTTTCTTAATCAACATACAAATAAACAAAGTAAAAGTTTTGTAGATTAGCAAAAAGAAGAAACTTTTTCAACTATTAAAATGTTTTTTTTGGGGAGTGGGGGGTGGGTGGGGGTAATGCTACAACCCCAGCCATCCACTACTTCCAAAGACTAAAACACCTAAGAAATGCATGGCTCCACAATTAATGTTAAAGTGCTATACATAAATTTATATTTTTATGGACACAAATAATTGTAATCGCATTATTGATATGTTATTCCTTTAATCATTTCCTCTCTCTCTCATCTGGTCTAAGTGATTATGAAAATATGTTTAAATGAATTAAAAACAAAAAGAAGGAGAAAAAGTGTGTTGTTAATGAAATGAGTGATTTCTTTATAAAATGATTTTGAACAATTCAGTTTTTAAGGTTTAGTTACACTTTAACTAAGGTCCATTTCTTTAATATGATATCAGATTAAAGGTGATTTCCACCCGATAATGGGTCGTCTTATTTAAATAACACACACATTAAATGTCCAATTTTGATCGTGAAGGAGGGTGTGATATAGTTAGACATCGATGTTAATGAGATGATGGTCTCCTCCTCATATGGTCTTGAAAATTTTCCTCTCTTGAACTAGTTTTTGAATATAATTTGAATTAGACTCACGATCCATTTTTTTTTAAAAAAACAAGGAAGAACCAAGAGGTGGAGCTCTTTCCTTTTCTTTTTTTTTAATTTTTAATTTTAACGGTTTGTTTGGTACAAACGAAAATAAAATATTATTATATAATTTAGCCATTTAGATAAACACTATAAAGGTGATGGTAGTCGAGGTGGGTGAGGTGAGGTGGGGTGTTGATAATCAATTTCGAATGTCATTTATATGATTTATTTTTCACATTTCTCGAGATAATTCGTTATTATTTTGATTTTTAAGTAATATATTTTCTTACCAAAGATATTTCCTAAATAATGACCAACCAAATATCAAAATACATATATTGAAAAACAAATTCAGAAAATATTTTTTAAATTACTTGATAAAAATATCCCTAACAATGTAAAGTTCTATTTTTATTTTTGTGGTTG